TCAAAATCGAACACTTTTTTGCTGACTTACGGATTGATAAACCATTGCTGTTATCTTTAATCAATGAAATTTTTTGTTGGAGCGTTAGTTCGTGTGGCTTCATTATAAACAAATGATAGTATGATGAATTTTTCTCTGACTGTTCTCTTCTATATTTGTATCATTCGTTTTCTTTTTTGTTCTGTTTCACATTCATTTGCCTTCATTTTGTTCTGTTCTTGTCTGTCTTTACGTACACGTTGTTCAATATTAACCGAATCATGATATTTAATGAGTGACAAACAAGTTCTATTTGAACTCCTATCGATCTGTACAAACATGTTCATATTCGATTGAACGATAAAAGGATGAACTTGAAAAAATGTCCACATTAGAAAGATTGTTTACTCAGGTCAGGACCAGGAAAAAATGTCCCCAGGCCAGAATAGAGAGATGTCCACATAAGGAGGTTTTACTGTAAGTTTGATCAGGAGACTTACTACTAAAATGATATGAAGCCTTTCACTTAGTTCCTTCTAGAATGATTATAGATTTGGGATGTACCCATAATCTTTTTCACCCTAATAGGCACATCATATGCCCACCCATTTCCACTTCTATACTTTTCCACTCATTAGTTTCGACATTCTTTTTCTGTTCATTGTCACATAAACAGAAACGTCTTTTAATGCGAAAATTTGCTTCTCCAAAACCGAAACCATGTTAAGTGGAAACACTGCTGTTATTTCAGATGGGTAAAAAGAATTTCAAAGATCTTTATCGACGTATCAAAAGAGAACACGGGACTGTGACTTGTGAAATATCCGTTTTCTCTGATAAATTCAATCCATCACTTAGATATGCTGGTGTTATTATCTACGCAATCGATGGAAAATTTGAATGGGAGAATCATGGTGAGCATAGAAGACAGTACATTCAGCAGAGGTGCATTCATTTATATGAATCCTTTTTATTCCTTTTTATAATGGATAGATGGTGGAAGGGCTTATGGACGAAGAGGAAGAAGTTTTTACATCATTATACAATCTACAGACAAATGGCCAGCAGACTACTATAAACCAGTAGGACAAGGAACTGTGCATGACTACCTCTTGAAAAATGTCATGGGTATTGAATCTGATCAGAAACGCATTGCATGTGGTGGGTTTGCTTATCTCTTTGACGAACTAAGATTTAGTAGTGTTTGGCTCAATGGTACGGACCAAACTGATGCTGAGAGTGACGGAGACAGATATTTGAGCGATTCTGAGAAGGTGTTAGTCACCTATTGCTGGGAGGAGTACAAAAGGCATGGCGCACATCACGTATTCTCCATTCCGTTTTTTATAGATGAAATATTATTGAATTAGTTCGTCATACTACAGATTCGTACCTTTCTTGCATTCGTGAATAATACTTTTATCGTTTTTACTCTTCCAAATACATGTTTATGGGCAGACACATGATATGTTGTCTTTGCAAGAACTGTAATATAGCCGAGAAAAGTTGGTGAATGTTTTATTCCGCTTTCATCTTCACTGTCTATCTTCATTCCAGATTTGTATGACTCTTTGTAGCAAGATACGATTCTTTATGTATACCAAAGAAACTTCTATTAGGTCAGTCTAGACCGAAAAAATGACCAACAAGTGGACTTGAGTTGCGGCTGTGGACCTAGCGTTACCGCATCCAGATCAAGGCATATACTATAGCTAGATGCAGATTGAGACGCAAACTCAAGGAGAAAGAAGCAGGACTTCGCGCTTCACTATATTTCACCGTACTTGAGAGGTACAAAGTTTCGTTGCTGGGTATGGCTGTGGCTGTGGATGTGTGGGTAAGGATGAGGGTGTGAGAGCAACTAGTCAAGATTCGGATTTCGTTCCTGTTAAAGCATTCATAAGTGGGCTTTATTTCTGCAATAAGGGGCGAGGACGAATATCTAAACCAATATAAGATACCGAATGAGAAAGCATTTCATGAGTTCATTGAAGAACTATTTATATTCCTTTTACTTGTCCACAGAGTTATGTTTATATAAATTGAATGAATATATCCACATGATATGCTCTGTTACGTGCGAAAGACAAAACAGAAAGAATCCTGGTGTGAGGGTGAGGGGTGAGGGTGGGTGTGATTTAAATAAATAACGAATTAACAATGATCAATATATAAATAGAAATAAACAAACAAATAAATAAATGAATAAATAAATAAATTTTGAATAAATATGAGATATATGAACAACTTTTTAAATAAGAAATAACTTCTGTTTTTGATTTAGTTTTTTTTGGTTTATTTTAGTTTTTTGAAATTTAAACAAAAGTGAAAATGATTTTAGACAAGTTTGAAAGTTTTATTGAATTTATGCGAATTAGAACAAGTTTTTGATATGTTTTAGAGAAAAATAAGAAAATTTGAATATGTTTATAATAAATGAACAAATTTAGAATATATTTTTAGAAAAAGTAAGTGAAAAAAAGATTTATTTTTGGTTTTTTAGTGTTATAGATAAAAATGAACAAAATGTGGTGAGTTTAAATGTTTTTAGAAAAAATAATTCAGAAGCATCTTAGTTTGTTGTGAGAAAAGAAAAAATTTTTAAGAATTTGTGTGATTCTTGAGTTAGAAATAGAAATAAATAAATAAGTATTATTTTGGGGATAGAAAAAAATACACTTGTTTTAGAAGTAATGAAAAGTGAAAATTTAGGTTATTTTTGGTCAGAAAGAATCTGTTTTTGAGAGCCAACTTGTTCTTCAGTGAAAATAATGAAAGATAATATAATTTTAATATAAATTAATTTAATCTAACAAATAAATAGATAATTTTAACAATAATGTTGAGCGACGCGTTTCGAATCTTCTTCAGGCTATGAATAACTATCCAAGATGGCTACCGTTCTATATATCGTTCCTTTCTCTTGCTCTCATCCAAAGGAAAATAAGCTCTCTTTCGCGGAGGATACTATTTTCAATGGTGGACGTAGTTGTCGTTCTTCTCCTTCGATCTTCTCACTCTAAGTCAATTCTAACTCAAAAGGCAATCTCTCAAGTGTGGGTGTGGGGAATGACTCAACTCAGGATTTATTCATTCCTTATCACAATAAAAAACTCACATAATTACAAAAAATTAGTTTACAAAACAAAAAACAATAGCACAATGTGCTAGTAAAAAATGGAAAACGAAAAATTGTCGACGTTGTTGTTGCCGAGTTAATACTAAAATAGAAAACGAAAAGGAGTGAGAGCTATCTCAAAACTTATTCTCACCTTATTCTAATTCTGTTACTAATGCCTTAATCACTCCTTTTGGGTGTGGGAGGTTCTTAGGTACTAATATACTCTTTAGATTATCTGTTAACTTATGAGCAAAAACTGCAGGAATATTGCTAAGTGGTGTTTCTTCAAATATCTCTTGTCAAATCTGATGGGATCTCGATCCGAATCTCGCTAAGCTAGGGTATACGTAAAGTGGACCATGATATCTGTATTAAAATTAATTCCGGGTTTCTCTTTCTTATTCCATTCTGAATCTAAGATCTTATCTCTAAATACATTATGTGTCTCACTTAATAGTAATTTTGGATCCTTCTCTCCTGTTAAAGTCTCATAAAATCTTCGAAAGTGTTTATCTATGAAATTTCGGGAGTACTTATTCAAAAAAAAAAGTAATTCTGACTTTTCTATCTCTTCTTCTAAATTATCTGTATGGAAACATATTTTAACTGATCGTAAAAGTGCTGAGAAGGAGATGTTCTTCATTACATGGGGAGTATGCGCTGAGTTAAATAGTAAAATATAGGGTTGTGCAGCTAATTTCCTGTAGACTCTTGTTCTAAAGTTGGATACTTCTATTTGAATTCTTACGTCTAAGTAATCTACATTGAGTCCTGTCTCAAAAGTTAATTCTATGACCTTATCTTTCTTACCTAACTCCAGTTGAATCTTATCCATCTCTTCTTTACTCTTCTTAATGGTTGGTTATAAAAATATCATCTCTAAATCCAAAGTATAACTCTCCTTCCTTATTCTGTTCTTTCTTAAACTATTTCTCCCATTTTCTCATATAGACATCTGCTAAGACTTGGGTGCATTCTGATCCCATGGGTCCTCCTCTTATCCGCTTATAATACTTAACTTTCTCTCCGTGTAACTGTATGGCAAAATATGCATTTTCTAAGACATATCTAAAGAGGGTCGTTATCATATTGATGGATATTTCTCCATGAGCTTTATTAATCTTATTCTCATCTAAAATCTCACAAATGGTTAAGATCGATTCTTGTTAGGGTACCATCGTATACAAATCTGTTATATTAAAGGTATATAAAAGAGTCTGGTCTGCAGCCTCATAATTTTCTAATTCCTTTAAAAGTTGCATACAATTTCTCAAACTATATTGGGTTAACTTAGCAAAAATGGGTCGTGTAATTTGATCTATAAAAGAAATTGAACTCGAAGCGATAGATGTAGTTAAAAAAGGTTTGAATCAAACAAACCAATATCCAGATTTCGTCCTTGTTCAAGGGACTCGTCAGTTGGTTTTGACTACGATAGTTTGCTTATGATCTTTATGATCATTCGAGCAACTGTCGTAGTCAAGACCAACTGACGAGTCTCTTAAGCAAGGACGAAATCTGGATCTTGGTTCATTTGACTCACCCCCACCCTCGCACCTTCTTTTTTTGAGTGTTGCTCATGAAACAGCATTTATCAATGATTTAGATTGTTATGTCAGGAAAGACATCTCCTGATATAAGAGGGCTCTCTCTATTATACCACAGCTCTCATTAATGGCATTTTTCCTCGTCGCTCCATGATATCTCTTTTTTGCTCTGAAAATAAACAAGAGGTATGTCATGAAAGACGAGAGAAGGAGAGAAAGACATTGTTTTATGCCTTTTTCTTCGTTAATTTGTTTTTTGTTGTTTTATGAGAGAGTAATCGAAAGAAATAAAAGAGAATATTGTAACAATTGGTGCACTGCCCTGTTTTATTTGTTTTTTCAATCGATAATGTATGTTAACACGGCAAGGTGCAGCACGAATTATAGAAACTGAATTTCATCGATTAGCTGATATTGATGTCGACTTTCCTGATACTACATCATTAAAACCCATTTTTTATCGCCCAATTGAATTTATTATGGCAGAAAAAACAGTTGCAACACTACTTAGTAAAACCTTGGAACAAACACCGAAATATTTTGGTAAACCTGATCACGATGCTGATGAATGGCTCAAGAACCTCACCTCAACATTTCGCTTGGCGAATATTAATGAATCACAAGCACTGAAGATAATACCAACATTTTTAGATGGGCCTACTAAACATTGGTTCACTGAAAATATTACAATATTCGAATCCTAGAGTGTGTTCAAAGCTGAATTTCTTCATACATATTTCTCTCCAACACTTGAACAATTGGCATCTCATCGTTTACGAACTCGTCAACAACTTTATGATGAACCAGTTATCGAATATTATACAGACGTTATGAAATTACACAAAATTATTGATCCTCAAATGACAGATGTATCAAAAATTGATCATTTATATCATGGTTTTAAAATTATCTTTAATGAAAGAAGTATTTTGTCGAGCTCCGTCAACACCTTCACAATTTTTAGAGCAAGCTAGACAAGAAGAAACGTTAGGCCGTCTAATTCCTACATGTATTTATCAACCTTCTGACAATAATATTGCTGATCTGAATTTACGCAATTATTCATATGACAGATCAACACACCTCACCGAACCCATATATTTTCAAAATTCATCCAATATATATTCACCAAGACAATCATACAATCGCTTTTATCATCAATCATCACCACAATATATGCATCAACCCCACGATTCTTCATTTAATAAGTTACATCATCAATCGTGCTCTTTACGATGCTACAACTGAAACAAGTTGGGCCATTTTGCCTGTAACTGCAGATCTACAAAAAATATTAAGGGAGTACAATGATGATAGTATGTCCCAACCTATATAACCATTATCATACTCTTCATTACGAACTAATATTCACTCTGCACGAACAAAACACACATTTTGACGCTTTTTTCCGTTTTCACGCTACCATGCTCAGCGCCACACACTTATACCTCCGAAATACTATGTATCCAGTCGGAATTTTCTGCCATTCAATCATTATCGATCATGTATAAAAGAACCCGTAAAAAAACACTGGCTCGTCAAGAAAACTCTTCGTCAAACGAACCCCTCCTTAATATTCATTAATGCAATTGTTAATGGCCAACGCTTACGCGCTATGATCGATACTGGAGTCACTCATTCATTTATAACTCAACGTGCATTAGGTACATTACATCATGCAACAGTACCATCTTGTGATCGTATAGCTCAATTAGGTGATGGTCATACACTGCTCAAGATCGTTGGTGAAGTACAATTATTATCACAATTTGATTCAATATTTATACCTCTGAAGGCTCTCAGCGTCAAAACTATGAACACAGATTTTATACTTAGTAGTGATTGGTGCGCCAACAATGCTGCACAGATTGATTATGATAATAATCAAGTATCTATACCTTCATCAACTGGTCGTTTGTTTATCCCATATGATAAATCTATTGACTCTCTAGCTTTAGATGTTAAAAGTATTAACGTAATTAAATTACCACCACGTGAATCATGTACCGTTCAAGCGAAAATCGAATTATCACCGGCTGATACGGTCTATTTTTATCCTAACGATGCTTCACAACTCGAAAAGCCTATTATAATATCACCATCTTTGTTATACGTAAACAACTATACCATCTACTTCGAGATACACAACCCTCATGATTATACTTATGCATTACCTATGAATACTGTGCTTGGTCATGTAACACATACACCACATCAAGTACGGTCATTTCTATTGTTTGATCCATCTACATGTTCGTCATCGTCAGCGTTATTATCTCAACATCATACTATTAATACCATTAATCTGTGACACACATCTTCTCAAATATTTAACACAATCGATAAATTACTTGAGCATGTTTCCAATGTTCAAGATAAACATCAACTACGTCGTATTCTGCAGGGACACATGAAGATCTTTGATATTTCGAATATTACACAAGCAAACACCTCCATTCAATATACTATTAACACTGGTGATAGTCTTCCAATTAGTTCTTGACTATACCCACGAACTCTCCAACAATGGTGTAAGCTTCAAGATGAAATTCAAAAGATGTTACAAACTAATCAAATTCGTCCTTCAAATATCACCATAGTCGTCTCCAGTTATCATTCATAAAAAAAGGATGGTGGTATTCGATTTTTAGTGAATTATCGTAAACTGAAGTCTGTAACAAAAAAGGATTCTTTTCCACAACCAACAACGGAAGAATTATTACACCGATCAGGTGGTCATAGTTTTTATACAAAATTAGATTTGAGATCAAGTTATTTTCAACTTCCAATACATGAAAAAGATAGAAAAAACAGCATTTATTACACAAGATGGTTTATGGAAATTCAACGTGCTTCCACAAGGTATTATGAATGGATCACCCATCTTTCAACCAACTATACACAATCATCTTGGTTATGGACGCTGGGATTATGTTATGGTTTATTTAGACAATATTTTAGTATTTTCACATAACTTCAATGATCATAAACAACACTTAAATGAAATTTTATCAATATTAGTTAAAGCCAAGTTCCAAGTTAATCCAGATAAATGTTCTATTGCTGTTCGAGAAATTGATTTTGTAAGTCACGCAATCAATGAATAATTCATTAAATCCAATGGTGATAAAATAAAAGCTATTAATGATTTACCAGCTCCGAAAACACTTAAAGAAGCAAATGAATTTTTGGGAAAAATCAATTGGTATCGTAAGTTCATTCCCAACTTTGCTTGCATAGCTGCACCATTACACAAAGTTACTAATAAAACAAAACATCATTGACATGTATTTCTATGAGAACCTGATCAGCAACATTCATTTGTTTTAACAAATGATGCATCTGAAATTGGAATCGGTGGAATTTTACGACAAGATACGCCAACTGGTACAAAGATAAATTATTATAAATCTCGTGTTTTAAATGATATTGAACGTATATATGCTACATTTGAAAAAGAAGCATTAGTTATTTATTGGTGTATTACTGAACTTCGATCATATATAGGTGATTCTAGTTTGACTGTCGAAACAGATCATAAACCACTTGAAAAATGTCATACTAAACAACTGAATAATAAACGTGTCATGAATTGGCTTTTTAAATTACAAGATATTTTACCACAAGTTATCGCCGTTAAAAATCGTAAAAGTGCAAACAACACTGCTGCTGATTATATTTCACGGCATTTCCCTTCGGTTGCAATTCTCAACAGTGGTTTATCTACTGTGAGTGAACCATGTGATGATTGGCCGACTAACTCTCAACATTGGTCCGAAGACACACCTAAGCCACAACATACACAAATTACTCAATCATCCATCTCAAGCAACACTTCGATTCGTAATACTGCTATGAACGTGAAGATCAATGCCGTTACCACTCGAGCACAAGCAAAACTTTTGGCGCAAGCCCCTCCATCTCCACAAACAATATCGTCCACACCACATGCATCTCAAAATGCCCCTTCTAGTTCACCATCCTCTAATCAATTATATGATTTTAGTTTATTACGTATGCGCTCTGAACAGGGACAAGATCCAGCTGTTCAACAAATAATTCAACAAGTTCACAATAGAACATGTCATAAATCATTTATTATACAACATGATATTCTTTACAAATTAGTTCGCCGAGGCAATACAAATATAAAACTACTTTATGCACCGTCGACCGTCATTCCAGGATTACTGGCGGCTTATCATGATCATCATTTAAGTGGCCATTTTGATGTCGAACGTACATGGCTCGCTTTAAAGAATACATATTTTTGGCCCCACATGAAAGAACTAGTTACATCTTATATTTAATCATGTTAACAATGCTCGAAATTTAATGTGAACCGTCGTAAACCCTCAAGACTATTACAACCTATGCAATCACCTACTGATGTTTTTCAAATTTAAGGTATGGATTGGTGGGGACCCACAATCACTTTCCGTGATAGTAACTGATATGTTTTGGTCATAACTGATCTACTCTCTGGCTATGTTATTGCTAAAGTCTCACCTACAAACACTGCTCAAGATACTGCTCGTATTCTCATGGAAGAATTTATTTTAGTTCATGGTATTCCTGATATCATTATTACAGATCAAGGCACACACTTCAACAATGAATTAATGCATGCTGTCTGGAATTTAGTTGGTTGTAAATACATTTTTTCAATATCCTATCATCCACAAACAAACAGATAAACTGAACGATGGAATGCAACAATCATTACCCAAGTTGCTAAATATTGTAACACTGAACACGATAATTGGGACACCTTTTTACCATCTGTTGTTTATGCATATAATAATGGTATACATAGTTCCACTGACTTCACGTCTTATCAACTTGCATTCGGATACCAACCGCGTAATCCGTTCCAGCCATCTGCAACTACTTTTATCTTTAATAAACCACATGATTATTGGACACAAATAATGCAATATAAAACTACAGCATTAAAACAAGCACAAAACAATATCATGCATCAACAGCAACTCTCGAAACGTCGTTTTGATAAAAGTAGATCACATCCAACTTTTTTCCAGGTGGTCTTGCATGGATGAAAAGTTTTGTTGAACGAACTAAACTCGATACTCTTTATACGGGTCCTGTTCGAATCATTCAAGTTCTTTCGCCGGTTATTTTCTTGCTGAAGATGAAACTTTTTAACGATTTCAGGTCCATTCACACAATATTAGATGCGAATACTCTCGTGAATTAGTTATACCCTGGAGAAATTCTTTTCTTCTTACACCAACACAACACAACAATAGTTGCATATTCATAAGTCGTCTATTGTATCTTCATTCGCATGCTTCTCACATCTGAATGTTATCATACTTAATATTCGAACAAGTTTATGTGTTATTTTTTCTTCATAGATATCTTCGTTATATTTTTTGTATTTTGCTCAATTCATGTATAGTTAACCATCGTCTTCATATTTTTAGTTATTATTCCTATTCTGCTATGGCAGTTCTGTTCATTTTGCTTTGGTTCATTCTAATGCATTCAAGCAATGCCATTCTCGATCGTAACACGTTGGTTTCTTGTGATCCAAGTTTTAATACAAGTAATTGAACCCATTACGTGTTCCTGATATTGCTCGCCGTGCGAGATTTGGTATTTATCGCTTTTCTTATTTCTCTTTATAAACGATGATGGCCAATCTTAAAGCTAGCCTGTCAACAACACCACCAACAATAGCAAGCACAACATGTTTTCGCACAAATCCCCTCTATGTCAGCACCAGCTTACCAACCACCGTATGCTCACGTACCTAACTCGTTAGTACATCAATTTCCACAACAATACACATCGTTATTACTTTCACCACCACGGGAACCACCTACATCATCAACGGTACCACCAACTCCGATCGTATCATAAACAAACTTTCTTACATTATTCATTTGCACGTGTTCTTGCTTTCTAATTCATCTTACTTGCAACACTTCACCATTTGTTTTTCTGCCGGTAATCATATGATCTTTCATTTCTAATTACAAGGCTTTTGTTTGTTCTATCTCCATCATTTGAAATTCGTCGTACTTTTGTTTGGTTTATCCCTAGTCTTTTGTGTTCGGTTCAGATTTTTTTTCTGAGATTGCATCTTGTTGCCCCGCTTCATATTTTTTTGGTCGAGAGAGGTGTTATGTCAGGAGAGACATCTCCTGACATAAGAGGGCTCTCTCTGTTATATTGCTGCTTTTGTTAATGACATTCCTCCTTGTCGCTCCATGATATCTCTTTTCTCTGAAAATACACAAGGAGGTATATCAGGGAAGACGAGGAAAGGAGAGAAAGACATTCTTGTATGCTGTTTTTCGTTAATTGTTTTTTTTGTTGTTTTTATGAGAGAGGGATCGAAAGAAAGAAAAGGGAAGATTGTAGCATACTACTAACGACCAAATGCTTGCGAATCATGTTTTTGATCTAAAACATCGATATTACAATCAAAAAACATTTTCTTGGATATATTCGTTAAGTGTAAGTTTAGCTGTACAAAATACTAATAAAAAGTTAATATGACGATACAACATGTGAATATACTGTTTGAGTCTTTTTGATACACGATTGAACAACATTTAATGATAGGTCACTAAATATTTATTCTTGTTGATCTCTTGTTTTTATCCCTGTTTTCCACTATTCGTATATCAGATCATTAATTTCTAACCTTTTTCTCATCTCCTGTTCTCAGATGAGCATAATTGGCTATTAGTCATCGAGGCGGGCTCTATCCACTTAACGATTGGTTGATTATCTTCTCCCATAAAACGATGATGTAAAATATTGACGATGCATTCATTAATTCCATTGAAAATATATCAACTAAGTGAAGAAAAGCGCTGGTATATCATCTGCGAGTGAAAAAAAAATTCTATAAATATTAGACAGACAGCATGTTTCCTTAACTGTTATATCAATACAATATATTGCATTATTAATCACTATCAACGCCATGGTAATGTGAATTATGGATTCGGTTCTGGTCGTCCACCTGCACTGAACCTAGTACAAGTGGAAAAACTCGATAAAACCATCCAGCAAAATCGATCTGCCACAGCTGCCGAGTTACTGTCAATCACACAGTTCAACACAACCGAACAAACGATACAACGTTATCGTCCACGAAAATCTGTCATTAAAGTCAAAATCAATAAAATGAATGAACGTAATCGATTTGAATTGGCTTCATTACACCATTGTACTGATATCAAAAAATACATTTTTGAAGATAAATGTTGTGTTGGTCTAAGAATCACAAACCAAATTGTTTGATGTGAACGAGGAGAATCGACACCAAGAAAAGAGATTTCGTCTGTATGAGCCCATATTAATTTAATTGGTTTCATTTAGTGGAATGGATACGTATTCCGCCGATTCGATCATTGGTTAAACAGTGACATGTTTTGTGCAATAGTGAATGGAGCTTTATCTGAAGATATAGAGGAGCTGAATGGATTTGTTTATGTTTCTGACGGTGTAAAATGGCATCGAAGTGCTTAATTTAGACGATACCGTAAACAGCATGATATTGAATTATGCAATGGACCAGGTTATAGTGCAGATTTTAACGCAATTGAACTGGTGTGGAATATTATTAAACAAGAAATTAAGAATAAGAATCAAAAGTCACAACGTGAACTAGCAGATGCGATGGATGAAGTTTGTAGTAACTTCTTGTTAAATAGTGTTCAATTATGTATCAAAAGAACTCCAACAGTATATTCACATGTTGTATTGTCATATTAACTTTTTATCAGTAGTTTGTACAGCTAAACTTGCACTTAACGAATATATCCAAGAAAATGTTTTTTGATTGTAATATTGATGTCTTAGATCAAAAATACGATTCACAAGAGTTTTGTCGTTGGTAGATAGATGTCATTCGAAAATTAGAAAAATATGTTCTGGATGATCTTTTTTTCAATCTACAACGAAGTTTATTATAATTGATTTGACTGATCTTTATACAATGATACCAAAAGAACGTGCTTTACTTGCATTATTGCGATTTTTAGGAGAACATTTTGTATCATGGAAAAATAGCTTCATTGTTCATTGATAGAATAATGAAAATGGCTCCCCTAGTATTAGATAATAATTGTTTTGTATATAATAATAAATATTAAAACAAATCCGTGGTGGAGCAATGGGCTCAGTATTTACAGGATTGTACATAACCTTTTGCTAGGGGATAGCAATATGATTTCAACTTGGATACCTAATGAATTTTATACCAAATAATAGCCCGTCAAAAGCTGGATCTAGGACTATAGTTAGCAATTCAATAGACAGAGATGACTGTTTCAACTTTTAGATGTACAAAACTGAACATAACTTCTTGCGAAAGAAGTACAGCATTAAGTACAAATGGCACAGTTATAGTTGATATATCAAGTGAAACCTTTATTAGATCTGAATAGAAATAATACATCAGTACTTAGTGTGACCGCCATTGGTTTCACGTACAGCTCTTAATCGGTGATGATACGATTTCAGTAAATTTTCGAAAAGATCTCTTTCGTTTTTAAGTTCATGAAGAACGGTGCGAAAATGTTTAGGCAAAACAATTGGAGAATTCCGATCGGAACCGCGCTCGCTAATCATCAGACTTTCTACTTTGTCCATCAAAATTTATCTAACATTTTCCGCTACATTAAGACCCGGAGGGCTTTCCAGCCATTCTGTTCGATCAAAGAAATCAATTCCCGAGTCTTTGAGCAATTACTGAGTGGCATTTTCTTTGTGGTACGGAGCGTTGTCATGAAGATAAACGACTTCTGCTGGATCTAATACTTTTTCAGAATTAGAAAGAAATGGAATCACCTTTTCTGTCAAAGTACGTTGCCGATAATAAGCTTCATCCCATGATGCACCATTATCTTTGATGACTCAGATCAATTTGATGGTAGTAAAACAGATGAAAACTCCAATGCAATTCGGTTTTGCACAAACGTCTTGATAATGCTCATTGCTTTCGATATCTTCCAGAGAAAGCGACTACACTCTGTCGTTTTGATAGTTCGGTGGATGAACAGTCCAAATGCAGAATTCATCAGCTGGAGCAAGGTGTACGAAATCATGTTCACCTCAATGATGCAAATAATCGCAAAACCATACGCGATTTTCTATGTTTGTTGCTGACTTCATTGGCTTTGGAATCACATGAAAAGCCTTTAGCCCATGTTTGACACGATATCGTTGAATAGTTGACGGGCTAACGACCTCTCCACGCTTCTCGAAGATCTCCTTCGCAACTCGTTTGCAACTTCTGTCTTTTTCCACTGTTTTCCATCACAATTCTTTTGCTTTCTTCAGACAATTTTCCCGGTCTTCCATCGCCAAATTTCGGAAAGCACTGTTCGTATCCTTTTTTCCAGTTCTCCGTAACCCATCTTTCACTACGATGCAGTTTTTGAGCGATCTACTTTCGATTGATAAACGTTGCAACTTCTTCCATTGCTTCTCAATAGATGTTTGCTCGAATGTGATCAATTACATATTTTTCTTCATCATCTCCAACGAGTCCAGCCATTTTATTAAACGATGATTATGTAAAATCTTAAACGGTAATGGGAAAATCAATAATAAAAGTTGAAATAAAGAAGAGTAAAATAAAAGGAAAAGCCCAACATCCAAGTGACACATGCGGTAGAAAGAGAGGACGCTTTTATGAAAAAAAGAACAAGAAGAAGAACAAAACCAACAATAGAAAAGAAAAAAAAACAGAATGATAGAAAATAGTGCGTACCTATACGTCTGAAATGTGAATCGACCATCCTTATGTATTGAATTGCTAACTATAGTCCTAGATCCAGTTTTTGACGGGTTTTCATTTGGTACAAAATTCAGTAGGTATCCAAATTGAAATCATATTGCTACCGCCGCCTAGCAAAAGGTTATACACAACCCTGTATACAAGTATTAGCTATTANTAAATACCGCTAATTATAGGTTTAATTTAAGAGATAATAAAATAATTTTTGCATCATTCAATGCAGGAAACATTTCTACAAACAGAAATATAAAAAAAACTCTATAATTTTAGAAATTTGATCAGTAAAAAAGCAAATTACTGACACATCTGAAAAGTCTGTTCCTATTGTCCTCTACTGGGGAGTGTCTAGGCACTCTCAGAGGGCCTGACACTGCGTGCGGTGTTGGGAAGGCGTCCTCTGGGGTCCAGCAGCCAAACAGTCTTGTCCTCGGACTAGTCATCCGTTGGTGGGACGTAAAACAATGCTTGACTAACGAAAAGGAACAAACAGAAATAGTTAGTACAACTAACATAACGCGTTTTGGATCATGGAATGTCAGATCGTGTTATCGTGTCACTAAACGTGAACTAATTGTTCGTCAATTAAAAAGATACAAAATAGAGATTGCAGCACTAGCTGAAACCAATATACCGGATTCCGGTATTTACGTAATGAATGGATACACATTCATCTATTCTGGAGCATTGGAAAAAGAACGTTCAAGAGCAGCTCACGGCGCAGCTGTGTGCCTGGGTCCCAAAGCATCTCGTGCTTGGAGAAATTCCGGCTCCATCTGGAAATCAATCAACTCTAGGATAGTAGTTGTTCGCATTAAATGTCAACCTATACCTATTACCGTTATAGCTGTCTATGCACCGGTGAACCCTTCAAATGGCTTAAAAGCTGAAATCGAGGCCTGCGATGAGTTTTATAAAGCTCTTCAATCATCAATTGATCATACTAATAAAGGCGATATCATATTGATTATGGGTGACTTTAACGCTAGAGTAGGAGTGGAACAATCTAGCTCAGCTCATAGCGTAGTTGGTAAACATGCAGTGGATAAGCAGAATCAAAATGGTCGTCGACTTGTTGATTTCTGTCTGTTCAATGGTTTCGTGATTGCTAACACATTCTTTCCTCATAAAGCAGTGCACCAAACAACATGGATGCACCCAAAAACTAGACAATGGCACATGCTCGACTATGTACTTGTTAATCGTAAATTTCGAAATAGCATTCAGGATGTTCGTGCCCATCGAGGCGCAACTGGCGGCATTGGGACGGATCATCATCTTCTAAGGGCTAAAGTCCGTATACATCTAAAATGTCGCAAAAAAACAACCGAGACAGGTCGGTTAAGGCTTGATTACGAAAAACTGAATAACGAAAAAGTGGTAGCTGAATTCCAAGCGGAATTAAAAAAACACCGAAATAACACACAGAAAAACAACAAGGATTTATCTGTGAACGAGAAATTTACACAATTCACTGATTATATACGTGAACACAGCAAAGAATACTTTGTAAAAGATCAAAGATACCAAAAGAATACTAAAGAATGGTTCACACAAGAAATAGCTGATATTGTGGACAAAAAAGCTAAAGCTTATGTACAATGGCAACGTCATCGTGGCACAATTGATGAAAATAAATACAGAAATCATTATCGAACGTTGGCCAAGATGGTTAAAAATAAAGTAGAGGCTAGACAACGAGAATATTGGGAAGAGATTAGTGTTGACATTGAAAATGCAGTGAAAGACCACGACCCAGCAACTGCATTTCAAATTATACGACGCCTTCGTGGTAATAACATGAATACGGAACACATAGCGATTCATGATAAAGATGGAAATACGTTAACGAATAGTGAAGATAGATCAAATAGGTGGAGAGAATATTTCGATGAAATGCTCAACGTACATACAGTGGTTGATGAACGGATATTACAAAAAATCCCAAAGCCACTATTAGATCAAAAGGATCTCTCTCATCAGGATGCTGTACCGACTGTTGATGAGGTTGTGAAAGCAATCCAACAGATCAGAAATAGGAGAGCTCCAGGAAAAGATGAAATATCTGCCGAACTTCTAAAAGCCGGCGGGTTGCCCCTAGCTGAATGGTTACACGAAATCATCCGTGATGTTTGGGAACAGGAAATCATGGTAAAGGATTGGACGGCAGCGGTTCTCATACGACTATATAAGAATAAAGGCGACAAACGGATCTGCGATAACTATAGAGGTATATCTTTACTAGTTGTAGCAGGAAAAATTTTTGCTCGAATCTTATTAAATCGTATTCAAAACACACTAGAAAAAAAACTGCTAGAGGAACAAGCTGGCTTCCGTGCTGGTAGATCTACAATCGATCAAGTATTCATATTGAAAATGGTTATGGAAAGATCAAGAGAATTCAATCAACCACTGCACCTATGTTTCATCGATCTACAGAAAGCCTATGATTCGGTTAACCGTGAAGCGCTATGGAGAGTATGTAGTGCATACGGGCTATCTGATAAGATGATACAAATGATCAAACTTCTATATGAAGATGTAAGAGCTGTAGTACGAATTGATGGCGACTTCAGCTCGAGTATCCAAATGAACACTGGTGTCAAGCAGGGATGTCTTCTATCTCCGATCTTATTCAATGTCTACATTGATTTTGTCATGCGACAAATACTTGAGCAAGCTGGAACAGAAGGTGTCACCATGAACTATCGTCTTGGAGATTTATGGTACTCAGGTCGTGGAAATAGCGATGATGTGAAGTTGTTAGCTCTCATGTATGCAGACGACATTGCTGTTATGTGTCAAAGTACTCAAGATCTAGAAAAATTTATAAAAGCATTCGAAAAAATCACACAAGACTTTGGTCTTACTATGAACATCAAAAAGACATGCTTGATGTCTCTAAAACAATTTCAAAAGTCAACATGTAACTCTAAAGAGAGAACAGAGGTAGATGATAAGCCATTTGACATCACCATACGCAATCAAAATATAGAAAAGGTAGAAGAGTTTAACTATCTTGGATGCTATGTATCAAAAGATCAAACACAACATAAAGACATTGAAACTCGTGTAAGCAAAGCATCCAGTGCATTTAATAGTCTCCGACGAATTGTTTGGTATCGAAAATGCATATCGACCCAGGCAAAAATAAGAATATTCAGAGCATCAGTACTCCCAGTACTCTTGTACGGAAGTGAACTGTGGTCTCTAACAGTTGCTGAGGAGCAACGCCTAAAAGCATTATATATGAAATGTCTAAGAGTAATAATTGGAGTGTCTATTGGTGATCGAATGAAGAATGATCTTGTGCTTCAGTTAACTGGACAACCACCTCTTGAAAACATCTTGAGAAGGAACAGATTGCGTTGGTTTGGTCATGTTAATCGAATGAATAATGATCAAAATTGTCCGATGTTAACAAAGAAGACCCTCTTCGCTTCATTCAAAAATGTAAAGAGACCTCCTCATGGTATCAAATTACGGTGGAAAGATAAAATCATGAAGGATATCACCGTATCCAATATTAAAAATTGGAGACGAGAAACGAATGACAAGGATACATGGCGGAAAACAATTAATCGTGGTGTTACTTATGGCATCGTTCATACAGATGTTACGCGTATAGTACGAGAACATAAAGAAAGAGCTGTTGATCGTCGAGCACGAGAAGAACTAATGCATCACATACCAAAAAATACCACAACTGATCATAATCTTCTAGCTCTCACAACTGATGATACTACATGCACGCTATGTGGACGTATATGTAAAAACAAAAAAGGTCTAAAAATTCATCGACACACGTGTATCAACAAGAATATCATAGATAAAAAGGCTATTACACAAAAAGTACAACAACCAATATCAACAAAATCACATCAGGCAACGACCTCACAACCGACGAAAATAATAGAATTGTTGGTGAAAAACAACAATAATGAATACATATGTCCAAATCAAACATGTGGCAGAGTCTTAAAGGCTCAAGGTGCTACATCACATGTGAAAGCATGTGCGAAATTATGGCTGGAAAAACAAAATTTTCACTTCTAGTGGCTAAAGTCTACATGCAGCTTACCGTGAAGTATGAAGACGGTTACTGAAACTAGATCTGCTTGTGGTCTGGAGGTAACAGTCTGATGGAAGTCGCAGAAGCTGCATGCAGATGATAATCAACTGACGAACAAGATCGATTCGCTCATTTTCAACTTGTATATATCCCTGTGTCGTCTCTTATATGTTTATGTGTTGTTTTATATATGTTATGTGTCATCCCGTAAATGTTTTATGTGTCGCTGTGTTATGTCTTTGTGTCGTTCTTCTTTCTCTCTTAAAGTTCTTTTTTATTTTGCCCCTTTTATTTTTATTTCATTTTATAAATTACTATGTTTGTTCTTCGCCTAAACTGGATTACCGGTATTGGCATTTCTTCTTCTTCTTCTTCTTCTGTTCCTATTGGGAACATCGATTGTATCAATTGATTTTCATAAGTTTTATTCAATCTAATATTTGTTATGAGATTGCACATTGGTTATTTAAAAAAACTATTCAATTGTTGAGTTTTCATGATTTTATTGTATGTTCAGTTTTAAAAGTAAAATAACCCCTGTTCAAAGAATTTCTTACATTTTTTTGTTTTAAGAATGACTTAACCACCAGTCAAGTTGAATTTCACAACTTTGANTGTAAGTGAACACAACAAAGAATACTTTGCAAAAGATCAAAGGTATCAATAGAATACTAAAGAGTGGTTCACACAAGAAATAGCTGATATCGTGGACAAAAAAGCTAAAGCTTATGTACAATGGCAACATCATCGTGGCACAATTGATGAAAATAAATATAGGAATCATTATCGAACGTTGGCCAAGACGGTTAAAAATAAAGTAGAGGCTAGACAACGAGAATATTGGGAAGAAATAAGTGTTGACATCGAAAATGCAGTGAAAGACCACGACCCAGCAGTTGCATTTCAAATTATACGACGCCTGCGTGGTATATTTCGATGAAATGTTCAACGTAAATACAGTGGTTGATGAACAAATATTACAAAAAATCCCAAAGCCAATACTAGATCAAAAGGAACTCTCTCATCAGGATGCTGTGCCGACTATTAGTGAGGTTGTGAAAGCAATCCAACAAATCAAAAATAGGAGAGCTCCAGGAAAAGATGAAATATCTGCCGAACTTATAAAAGCTGGCGGGTTGCCTCTAGCTGAATGGTTACATGAAATCATCCGTGATGTCTGGGAATAGGAAATCATGGTAAAGGACTGGACGGTAGCGGTTCTCATACGACTATATAAGAATAAAGGTGATAAACGGATCTGCGATAACTATAGAGGTATATCTTTACTTATTGAATTGTATTCAAAACATGCTAGACAAAAAATTGCTAGAGGAACAGGCAGGCTTCCGCTGTGGCAGATCTACAAACGATCAAGTATTCATATTGAAAATGATTATGGAAAGATCAAGAGAATTCAATCAACCACTGCACATATGTTTCATCGATCTACAGAAGGCGTACGATTCGGTTAACCGTGAAGCTCTATGGAGAGTATGTCGTGCATACGGACTATCTGATAAAATGATAAAAATGATCAAACTTCTATATGAAGATGTAAAAGCTGAAGTACGAATTGATGGCGACTTCAGTTCGAGTATCCAAATGAATACTGGTGTCAAACAGGGATGTCTTCTGTCTCCGATCTTATTCAATGTCTACATTGATTTTGTCATGCGGCAAATACTTGAACAAGCTGGAACAGAAGGTGTCACCATGAATTACCGTCTTGAAGATTTATGGTACTCAGGTCGTGGAAATAACGATGATGTAAAGCTATTAGCTCTCATGTATGCAGACGACATTGCTGTTATGTGTCAAAGTACTCAAGATCTAGAAAAATTTATAAAAGCATTCGAAAAAGTCACACAAGATTTTGGTCTTACTATGAATATCAAAAAGACATGCTTTATGTCTCTAAGACAATTTCAAAAGTCAACATGTAACTCTAAAGATAGAAGAGAGATAGATGATGGACCATTGGACATCACTATACGTAATCAAAAAATAGAAAAAACAGAAGAGTTCAACTATCTTGGATGCTATGTATCAAAAGATCAAACACAACATAAAGACATTGAAACTCGCGTAAGCAAAGCATCCAGTGCATTCAATAGTCTCCGACGAANTATGAATATCAAAAAGACATGCTTTATGTCTCTAAGACAATTTCAAAAGTCAACATGTAACTCTAAAGATAGAACAGAGATAGATGATGAACCATTGGACATCACTATACGCAATCAAAAAATAGAAAAAACAGAAGAGTTCAACTATCTTGGATGCTATGTATCAAAAGATCAAACACAACATAAAGACATTGAAACTCGCGTAAGCAAAGCATCCAGTGCATTCAATAGTCTCCGACGAATTGTGTGGTATCGAAAATATATATCGACTCAGGCAAAAATAAGAATATTCAGAGCATCAGTACTCCCAGTACTTTTGTACGGAAGTGAATTATGGTCTTTGACGATTGCCGAAGAGCAACGCTTAAAAGCATTCTATATGAAACCTCTAAGGGTAATAATTGAAATGTCTATTGGCGATCGAATGAAGAATGATCTTGTACTTCAGTTAACGGGACAACCAGCCCTTGAAAACATATTGAGAAGGAACAGACTGCGCTGGTTTAGTCACGTTAACCGTATGGATAACGATCAAAACGGTCCGATGTTAACAAAGAAGACCCTCTTTGCTTCATTCAAAGATGTAAAGAGACCTCCTCACGGTATCAAATTACGGTGGAAAGATAAAATCATGAAGGATATCACCGTATCCAATATTAAAAATTGGAGACGAGAAATACATGACAAGGATGCATGCCGGAAAACAATTAATCGTGGTGTTACTTATGGCATCGTTCATACAGATTTTACGCGTATAGTACGAGAACATAAAGAAAGAGCTGTTGACCATCGTGCACGAGAAGAACTAATGCATCACATACCGAAAAATACAACAACTGATCATGATCGTCTAGCTCTCACAACTGATGATACTACATGCACGCAATGTGGACGGATATGTAAAAACGAACAAGGTCTAAAAATCCATCAACACACGTGCATCAACAAAAGTGTCATAGATAAAAAGGCTGTTACACAAAAAGTGCAGCAATCAATATCAACAACATCACATCGGGCAACGACCTCACAGCCGATGAAAATAATAGAATTGTTGTTGTAAAACAACAATAATGAATACATATGTCTAAATCAAATATGTGGCAGAGTCTTAAAGGCTCAAGGTGCTACATCACATGTGAAAGCATGTGCAAAATTATGGCTGGAAAAACAAAATATTCTCTTTTAGTGGTCAAAGTCTGCATGCAGCTTACCGCGAAGTATGACGACGGTTACTGAAACTAGATCCGCTTGTGGTCTGGAGGTAACAGTCTGATGGGAGTCGCAGTAGCTACATGCAGATGATAATCATCTGACGAACAAGATCGATTCGCTCATTTTCAACTTGTGTATATCCCTGTGTTGTCTCTTATATGTTTTGTGTTGTTTTATATATGTTGTGTGTCGTCCCGTACATGTTTTATGTGTCTTTGTGTCGTCCTTCTTTCTCTTTTTAGTTTTTCGATTTTATTTTCTCCCTTCTTATTTTTATTTTATTTTATTAATTATTATGTCTGTTCTTCGCCTAAACTGGGTTACCGGTATTGGCATTTCTTCTTCTTCTTCTATGCAACGTATTCTTGATGCTGTCGAGTATCCTCAATTACATTCATTATTATTGGTCGATTATCAACCAGAAACATTCAAACAACATTAATATGGTATAATCACGAATTTTAATTCATTTTATCAATTACTAATACCTTCATTTACATTTAAGGTAACACTATATTTCGTCTTCTTGATAATCAAATTACAAATCTCACTGTTAATATTTATTCTGAAAAAGCAGAAATATTGAATGAAAATGAACCAAATATATTTCAGTTCATACTATTAATCGGTAGACAGTTACGTGACGTAACTTTTTTCAACAGTGCTCAAGAAAATATGTAATAATTTGGTCTTCAAATACTTCATACACAGGTTCTTTATCTTCAACTCTCCTAAATTGACAATAAATGTCGTAACTTTTTGATGACTGCCTTTATCTTCTTAATGGATGTCTTCAATCTTTATCTACATTGATCATTCGTATCTATAAAATGACTCGTTCATCATCGAAAATAGATAATATAGTAAGGATAAGTGCAATTATTGCATATAAAGAGTTTAGAAAAAATTTGTCAAATTGAAATATTTCTCATTATCAACAGATTGGTATACACATTTTTATAATAAAAAAGTTGTTCTATTACTTAATCGAATGTTAAATCTTGAAGAATTAACGTTGTTTCTTTCAGTAACAAGAATTGAATGCACTTATATCGAATGGCAATCAATTATACGATAAAGCCCTTAACTATATACCACGACTAAACAAATTTATCTTCAGTATACACACTCAAATTATGAACGCTTGTATTATCGGTCCTCGCAAGATCAACACTCATATTGGAATTGATCTTCCATCGAACGATGGCATTCGAAATAGTTTCATTAATAGAGGATTTCAATCAATTGATACATGTCTCAATGATAAACTCATAAATAATACAGCCAAGTGTCATATTTATTCTCTTCCATATCAATTTCACGATTTCTTATTTATGAGTAACTGTTTTCATGGTGGCAGATTCGATAAAGTTCGATTGTTATCGGTGCATGATATATGTCTATTTGAACATCAATTATTTAAAATCATCTCTCAAAACTTTCTTTTTCTTCAACAATTAATCATATGTAACGATAAAACACAAAAAAATAAGCAACATCAATCGTCTACGTTGGTTACATTTAATCATCTGTTTAAGCTCAATCTTTTCAATGTATACAGTGACTATGTCATACGGTTTCTTTCTGACAGAAACGCTCTTTTACCTTGTTTGACAAATCTCATGATTGAATACGACACATTAGCAATTGTGACAAATTATTTTATCAATGATGCAACACCTCTCAATTGTTCTAAAATGAAATCTCTTGTTACATATGAACTATCTGTTCGTCCTCAAAACTTTAATTCATATTTGCCTTCTCTGTAAATATTAGTCTTGTATAAATGATTTGAATAAAAAGAAGTGCGATGAGAAAGTTAAAAATATATTTCAATAATGATAAATAACAAATTACTGCGTAAATTATCAATTGTAGTCTATATAATAATATTCAATAAAATCATAAGATGACAATAAAAGGAATAGGATTTAAATAATTGATTATGTTTTAAATTTTGACGAGTATTGAACATAGAATTATATTATTGAGAAGAAGATTTTAAAGCAAATATTAAAATCTTTAACGGGGACATTAGATGATAATGGATGATATTAACGAAGAAGTTCATTATATAGATTTATAGAAATCGATCTATTCTGAACGACGAACATTTTAATTGACATAGTAAATATAGGTCTTAGTGTGATTAGCAAAAACGATATGAATATAAGAGATTAGTGCATATAAAAGATGATCAGTTGTTACAGTATCTACTGTAACAATGGATGTGGGTGTGGGTGGCTGCAAACCTTCTCCAAAAGCACACCCACCCTTTGCCTTAAATCCATGAAGTAACCAACAAAAAGTAAAAACTTGACATAGTTACAATAGATTCAGTAGTGTTGAAGTCGAAAACTCGCTTCGACTCGAAAACTATTTTTGCAGCTTACAATTGTTCAACTGTTCAACCAAATTTTCAACTAATCCACCTCTCACTGTTGTCTCTTTAATGCTGTTCCTGCACCACCACTGCTATTCCTTCAGGGTGTGAGTGGATGTAGGTGCGGGTATGTGTGTAGGTGTGAGTGTGTGGTATGAGCGAAGGTATGTTTGTGTGCGGCCTGGTGTAGTTCTTCTCTTCACCCACACCCTGACACCCACACTGGCACACTCCCACCCATAGGCACACCTACACCATTTTTCTGAGTATAGGAATGTGCAACAATGAAGTGAACATGAGGCAGAAGCTTAGTGCAAGATCGAACAAACACGGATGGTTATACAAAGTCAGAAGTTTCTTTGTTAGCAACTTGAGTCTAAAGAGGCGAAATATCTTAGTTTTTCTGATGAATTTGAGACAAAGGTGATTCGATAAGATCATGAAGTGATGTTTTTTATTTTCACAAATGTATTTGAAAGTTGTTGAGAAGGAAATCTGTTGATGGAAATAGTTCATTGACAAATAAGTAGATACTTTTATGCAACAGACATCTTAATTCACTGATGATTACTGAGCAGCAAACACTAGTGACATCGATATTGTCTTCTGATGGTGCTTTGATGGACAAGACTTAGTCTGCAAATATTGCCATGCATGGAATAGGATTGTTGAGTGATCAACTTGCTAGAGACCTGGAAGAAAAGAATTATTTCTTATACTTGTGTAAGATCTATTGGCATTTGTCTTTTACTGCACCGATGAAAAGAGTTGCCTCAATGATGAAAATAAAGTAAAAAAGTAGGCAATAAATGCTTTTTCTTCTCCAAACTCAACATTCAACCTCAATGTTGCCATCTCTGGAAGTCGCAAGAAGAAAAAAAAATTCTCCTTGCAAAGACGCAGGGGGGACACTTACGACGTATTCAAGCATCAACAGAAGTCATTTTACATGTTTGTGCTGTTGATTTGTTTTTCCGTCATACCCCACGCAGTGTATGCACAAGAGAAACTTACAACAGAATAAAATAAAGATCAAAGAAAAGGAACTTTGCACGGGGTGGGGAATGAAGGTGTAGGCCTGAAATGAATACCCATATTCTCTTGAGGGTGTAAGGGGGATTGTGGGCTGTGAGTTTGGAGTATAGTTTGCAGAAAATACCCACACTCTACATCCCTCATCTCCACCCACATCCCACACTCCTCACCGACATTCATACCCACACTCCACACCCTCAAAATATTTTTCAATTTCGCTTTAAAAAAATACAAAAAAGAATTAGGCTTTAGGAATTGGGAAAAAATGTACGCGTTTCTGCGATACTCACAACTAAATAGACTGATAATAATAACCGTTAACGGAGCAAGAGAATAAAAGAGTATCGCTATTGCAAATGTTAACCAGTATAAAGTTGGGTGGCAATATGTTACTAATTGTGGATTTTCATATTGTGCCATATCATCATATCTGAGGGTAAACGTCCAATATCCACCGACAATCATCCATGCAAATTGAAATAGAATGAATACCTAGAGGGTATATAGTTAAAGTTAGTTGTTAAGTTAGTAACTACAACTAACCGGTGGTAATTAAAAACTGGTTCCTTGTAACAATACTTTAGCTACAAGTACCTATTTTAGATATTAATGATCAATTAACTCCTCTGACGTAATAAGCATAAGTTTACACACCTCTCCCTTACCATCAACGCAAATACATATGGACAAAATATCGGCCAGACTCCATATAGGATAAAACCCCAGCCATCATCATCCCAAGCATCGTGTCGGGCATACATCAAACCACCCACACATAGAATTATAATAACCGTTATTAGGATTCCAATTATACCAGCAACTATATTAAAGATTGGGATTTTCGGTTGAATTGGACATTTTCCATAGTATAATCCACCGATAACCAATTGGATTAATGCTAATCCAAACCATAGAACAAGCAGAAAACCGAGAGTAATATAGTAATTCTTTTTGCGTTTTTCCATTTTCAGCAAAGAGTAATGGAACAATGACAATTTGAAAGTGAAATAAGTCAAATTTCTACACTGTTTCTTCTCTTCTGTTGATTATAAAGTCGCTTTTATTTATTGAAAACATGACTTGTTCAAATGATTCATCGAAAGAAAAACAGTAGCTCTTTTTTCTCTTTAGTATGTTGTCAGATCCTATATGACTCACACTTTATTAGCAAATTACGCACTTAGTTTATGATTTCGACCCAAAAGATCCTGTGTTATAATTTAAGTATAAAAAAATTTAACATTTGATTTATACTCGAATGATACATTTCTCGTTACCGGCAAATTTCTGTAAATATGTATTTTAGACCGAAAATGTTTTGCTTGTGCTGCTCTCTATTATTTTAACTAAAGAAATGTTGACAGAATGACAAGAATATGTTGAAGCCAGCAACGAGCATATAGTAATTATACTTCTTTTTCGGTTCTCGAGTGTATTATGTAAAAATATTCTGGATTTACTTTTTGGTTCAAGATATTCTATAGGGTGGGTGTGGGTGTGGGTACAAGTGCCAATGAAGAGAACTTCACCCCCACACCACAGCCACACAATCTTTAATTGCATTTACTATTCCAACTGGGGTCACATTCGAATCCTCTATATACTGTTGTTGAGATCAGCAGTGTGGTCAACGAAAACAAAAATTTTTAAATAATAATAATACATTTTATGTCATTAGGGACATGAAAGTGGCTCACAACGAATCGTTGCTCTAATCAATAGGTTGAGAAGGGAGAGTAAGGTAAAATTGTAGGAAGACTTCATCAATGCATCACAGCAAAGAATCAAATTATATTACTCATAAATAGGAAATTCTAGTGAAGAAACATGAGGAGGCTGTATTTTATATCTCAACCGAATATCTTTTCTTTCAAGTAGCATATTTGACATTAAAAAAAGAATCAGGAAACGTTCGATGGGTTCATAGAATAAGGTTAGAAGCAATTCATTTTTATTTACTCCAAGAGTCTGTAAATTGTATAATATTAATCCATTAGACTACCTTTCGTATAGATTTGCATGAAATGGGATGGCTACGCATGTGGGTGGACATGCGATTGTGGATGAAGAGAAAATGCACACCCACATCCTTCCGCCGTCATCCTCAATTCGTTGAATATGCTTATTTTATTGTTAATCTATATGATTCTTTCTTCCGACTTATGCAGTTGTTGAATCACATCAACGACGCAGCCAAGATTTCGTTCTTTTTTCCAACGTCAACAACTCATTTGATGTGCGACATTGACAAGAAAGGAAGTAG